AGCTGGCAGATGGAGTGGATTTTGATGTTTTGTTGTTTTAGCCACTAGTTTGGCCATTTTGGATGTAATTTGTTTATTCTGATTTTTAAGCCCCAGGCTAGACCTTATGTATATATTTTAGCTGCTTATGTTTATATACATGTCCTTGTCTGTGTGGTGCTGTGATGTGTTGTGAGCTGTGTGTGACGACCAGGCGGGTCATTACACTTTAGTGGTATCAGAGCAGTTCGAGTCTAGTGGACACTCAGTGGGGGTGGTTCCTTTAGGCTTTTATTGTGCTGAGCTCTGTGTTGTGTTGATTTACTGTGCTGATTTCTTTGTTGATTGTTGTGTTGATGATTGTTGTTTGGTTTAGTTATTGTATACTGAAGGTGTTGTTACTTTTGTAGACAATGACTAGAACCAATGAGCAGATATATAGTCCGTGCCATGGAGATGATGGCTATGGCTATGCAGCAAAAAAATGCTTATTTTGCTAGGATGGACGCTAATAAAGCTGCAGCTGGAGCAGCAAGGCCCGTGGGGTCACAGGAAAGTTGGGATCTAGCTGAGTTCCGGAAATGCCATCCTCCACAGTTCAAGGAAGATGCAGACCCAGAGGTAGCTGACCACTGGATCTGTGAGGTGGAGAAAATCTTCACAGTGTTGGGATGTTCTTAGGAGAGGAGGCTGACATATGTTGTCTACATGCTGGTTGGGGAGGCTGAGCATTGGTGGAGGGGTACTCACCGTATGCTGACTGTTAGAGGAGTTGTTGTTGATGAAGTGCTGATGAATGATCCTATTTAAAGTTTGGAGCAGTCAGAGACGCAATTTAATTGAAATCTTTTAGCTAAATGTTCAAGTTTCCAGCAGTTGATAATATTAGTGAGTGTGTTTCAGGTGATCTCCCAGTAGTTATATCATGTGCTAGCCTTGCCCTGGCAGATGCTGGAATAATGATGTATGATCTTGTTGCCTCAGTTTCTGTGGTACGAATCTTGCCCAATTTTGCACTTTGCTATAATATCACTAATTTGTACTTGCTTTGTAGTTTGCATAATCTGTTTCTCCCATTTTAAACTTGTCTTGAAATTTTGATCTTCTATAAAACCATCTTCTGATTTCCCTTTTTCATATGATTTGACTTAATAATACCTGCATCACAAATTTCATGCATTATTAAATTACATCTTATATGCATTTTGCTTCTGTAGCCTACAAACATATTTTTAAACAAATTTTTATTTATTCCAACTATTCTGTGGATACCAATTTCTGTGGCATTATTGCTAGTGAGCGTGTGTCCTATTTTTATTGATGATCTTCTTCCTCCTCTCAAAAATCATTATGATAAAATGAGATCATCATGATGGTTACTGACCTTTTTACCTTTTATGACCCTGCCATAAATTTTTCATTCATGACATCCTTGATTTGCTGCTGAGTCTCATCAATTTTTAATGATTGCAGTCATGTTTTAGCAAGAACCTTGTTATTGACCCTATTTTGGAGGAGGAAAACTGCCAAGATGGTAGCTTAATGGTCACTTGCATGCCTTCTCGCTACGAAATCACCCAGCTTACCATTACTGGGGAATGGTCCACTCCAAAGATTAATGAGGTCTACCTATTTTAAGTTTTTTTAATCTTTTATCCAAATGCCTATTTTTAACTTGTGAATCTTCATTTGGATCTTTGAAGGTTAAATACTCTAAAATTGTCAAAGTATTAGTGTCAAATGTGTGTGTCTATCACTGATGCGCATATGATACACCAAAGTATATATTCCGGGAGTATTCTCTTTTTTTTAAAATGGTTTTTAACCAATTTTTGGGATACAAAATTAGTTACTGTCTATGATATGGCATTTTGATATTTTTCTATTGAAAATATTGTTTTGCGGCAGCATTTACCGAAAGTTTCCGTTGCAATTTTGCACATAGCACTGTCAATCTGTATCTCCTTCTCAATGTTGCAATTGAAAATATTCCGGGAGGATCTGCAAGGGCTGATTGCACATATTTGTATTGCTAATTTTCTCACCCGTCTTTTCGATTGTTTAATCGTCTAAAATATTTGTATCTCCTTTTCCCTGCCCTCCTACCTTTGTTTGATCATCTAAATTGGTTGTTGTATAAAGATTGTGACTCCCCACATGCAGGGAATGCAGCTGTGTTTGGATGCTTGTGCAAAACTTGCAAAGATTATGAGGTCGTGTTTGAAAGAAGCTGCTTCGGGTTCCCAGGAATAGAATAACAGTACAAAAAATTGACACGGATCACAAGATATGCTGTTATTTTTTTTCTGTTTCTACCTCACTATTAAGATAATTGTGTTTTGAAGGAGGTAGACAGATGTGCTTTGCATGTCCAGAAAATTTTGTGCTCATGAGCTTGTCGAAGATAAATTAAAAATTATTCTTACAGCAAGAGCAATATGCATGTCACAGTTTGGCAAGTCAATTCTATCTTACTCTGAATTAGGAGTTTGTCAACTTAACCCACCAATTTGATTTGAGTAAGGTTGAATTGGGTTGGCCAGCCTGGTTTCCTTTGAAAAAAAAAACGGGAACATAGATTATTTTTTTGTGATATTTTTTTTTTGCTGACGTTATTAAGACGTGAAACCAGTTATTCTTTTTTAATAATGGGCCCAGGTTATTATTTTTTAATATACTAATTTTTTTTATTTATTTAAATAACCTGGGCCTATTATTATTTACGTAAATAACTCGTTTTTGAGGCGCAAGTGAGAAATTGGTTACTGGGTAATCGATCAGTAACCAATTTCTCAAAGGGTTTTTTTTTTTTTTAAAATTCAAAAATCCTTTGAGAAATCGGTTACTTAGTAACCGATTTTTCTATTGGTTTTTTTTTTCTTTCCTTTTTTTTGTATTTTTCCAGTTTTTTTAATTTATTTTTTTGTTTTTCAATTTTTAATTTTTAAACTTTTAAAAGAATTATAATATATTTTTTAAAATTTATTTAAGTTTTTAGAATATAAAAAATATATTTAATACTAGTTAAGTTTTCATTGGGCAGTTTACCAAATAATTCATTATATATATTTGAAATATACTAGAATATGTATACCTGGTTTATGTAAGATTTATAATTCTAAAAATTTAACTAAATTATTTTTTTAAATAGTATAATTCTTTTAAAAACCTAAAAATTAAAAATTGAAAAATGAAAAAATAAATTCAAAAATCTGAAAAAAAAAGGCCAAAAATCTATAAATAAATAAAAAAACCAAAAAACGAAAAAGAAAAAAAAAATCAATAGAGAAATCGGGTAGTTGATTTTTCAAAGGGTTTTTGAAATTTTTTTAAAAAAACCTTTTGAGAAATCCGTTATTTAGTAATTGATTTCTCACTTAAATTTCAAAAATAAGTTATTTACATAAATAATAATAGGCTCAAGTTATTTAAATAAGTAAAAACAAATTTAGTATATTAAATAAAAAAAAAGTCCAAAACGATTAAGAATCACGATTAACTCTAGGTTGGTTCGACTAACATGTGAGCTAAATCAAAATGACCGAGTCCTTGTAAGCTGATTATTTTGTAGGTTAACTTATGGATTAGGTTAATCGGTTTGGTTTATAGGTGGGAGCTTCACTTTAATAGGTATATATGATATATTGACATGATATGATATCAAGTATAGCAAAATCAAACTCTAGCCGTTTGGTTTCGCCATTTTCTAGATGACACTTTAATTGGTATATATTAGGTTGGACCGTGTAAGAGGTCACTTTTCGTATCCTATAACTTATTTTAACCCTACGGAGTCACTAGTTTGGAAGACAGATTAAGATGATTGAACAGGAAGAGCTATATTTTTTGTGAACGTGTAAAGTATGGGTCAGAAACTCGTGCGTCTAGATTATTGATTCCTTGTATCAAAGACAGTCTGTACAAGTTGATTTGATATCATCCGGAAGGTACAGCCAATCATAGTTCTTCATTTAAAGCTAACACAAGGGCTGTCAACGCTTCATTTTATATATGCATATATAATTTCCTTTTTTTTATCCCTTGTTTCCGTGTATAATTTATTTGTCACTTTCTTCCCATCATTTCACACAATCATAGCGATTTTCATATCTGCTGAAAAAAATATTTATATATAATTCGTTCTGAGACTCGTTATATGCATTTTAGTTTACTTGAACATCGCATCCTATTGTGTGTTTATTTGACAAACTAACAAAATAGTCCCCACTGAATTACTCGTATTTTTGAAATGGAAAGGAATTAATTCTCTGCCGTCAAAATAAAATATTAATGTTATTATAATATTTATATCAATTATGAAAAACCAATTAAAAAGGAGCATTGATCAAAGTCAAATATATATAAATTAATTAAAGAAAATATTCCGACAGGATCAGTTCTTAATTATAATACTATTACATACATAACATATTAATTTTATTAAAAAAAATACCTATCAATTAACATGATCACGCACGATCAAGTCCCAAATTATCCATTTATGTATTAGGAATAAATAAATATACTGTATAGTAGCTATTAAAAAAAAGAACTGATTGATATAATTGTAGATTTTTATCTAATTAACATGGAACAAGTATGACAAGAAATCTCGTTGTCTTGTTGGTAGCACATAAAAAATCCAAACTTATGTAACTAAACCATATTACTAATATATATAGATAAATTGATATATCGGAAGACACAACACAACTAATTAATAATATACTAATATGTAGTAATTAATCACTAAATAACCTTTATGTATACGAAAATGTTGCACCGTCAAACACGGATAACGGGACAGGGAAACAATGTGTGGCTTGAGGTTTGAGGGTTATGTTATGAAGTCCATACCAAGCTGTTCTTAATTTACTTGTGATTTCTGCCGCCACCAATTTGGTTTATAATTCTGATGATAGATAACTGCTTGTCGAGAAAAAAAAGATTATATTTAAACAATATGCATGACTCTGTCCCTTCCAATGGGGCAATGTGTTTGCGGTTGATGCTACTTGCTTTTCATATCAATACCAATATAATATGTATAATATGATGAAATATGAACTTACGTACTATTCAACATCATTCGTCTAATTTCTAGTAAAGTTATTGTAAGATTAATATAGTCAGGAAGTCCGTGCATATTTTTCTATATATCTGGTGACTAGCACATATTAGTGTGTATTTAGCTTGTAGAAGAAAATAATTTTTTTTAAATTATTCGTTAGATAAATTTAACATTAATTTTTTACTGACACTATTCTAATATCACGGTATGATTTTAATATTAATCTAAAAGAGGAAGAAAGTAAATAATATCCATGTAAACATTGATTGCTAAAAATGTTTTTTTACATAGTTTTTTCACAAAATTATTACCACAATGTAATTTAAAAAATTATAATGCAGTAAAAAGAATTTTTTTTTTCCCATTAAATGGTACAAACAATACTTTAAAATTAACGACCAAAGAATGATTTGTATTTATAGAACGTCGTTAACTAAAAGAAAAATCTTTTATTAACATATATAAATACTTTTAAAAAAATATTTACTGCAAACCAAATATATTTTAATTAAACTATAATTCTCAAAATTTATAATTTGTACGAATGATGATTTCTAGCTATATCTTTTTTTTCTTCTATCCACATCATTTGACGAAAAGGATACATTTGACAGAACGAAAGAAAAATACTATGTTAGCTGAAAACCACTTGTGGTAACTGATAAGGTTGAAATGGTATCACAAAGGAAAGTATTACACAGTACACACCGACAGCCACTTTGTTCGGATATTACGTCTAACAAAGTCGTAAAGGAGCTTGCTGTCAGGTGCCCCACAACGTTTTTCATGTCCTTTTTTTATTTAATCATTTTTAACATTGAATAGCCTAAGCTTAAACTTAATCACACAGATTTCTCTGTAAGAAATCACTTATACGAATGTTTTTAAGGTGTTTATTTATTTTCTGCAATATGCCAATATCCTTGTATAGTTTTCAAGTATGTATTATATTATAATATAATGAGGTAAAGTGCCTCAAAAGTGGGACCGAGTCAGAAGAAAATGACACATGTTAAGGTTCCCTAACAGCGTATCTAACGTAGTCAACTTCACACGTCGAAGAAACCAGCAACTGTCTCCAGCCACTTAGCTTATTTGGTTGGACTTGGACCAACCTCTCTGGCTCTAACTCATTGCTTACACACGCTTTTCAAACACAATTCTTCTCCCCTTTCATTTGTCTTTATTGCATATGATTATTGTGTATGTGTGAGTGTGAGTTTTCATTTGTATCAAATCATTTTCCTTCTACTTGCATAGGCTCTTCCGTCTTCAACTCTTTTAAACTAACCATTTTTGAATGTGCATACGGTTTTGTTTTTTGTTTTGGATGTGCATGATCACCCGTTTTTTAGGGGGGTGTAAATGTAATTAACTACTAATGAGGAACATAGTGTAGTAGTAACCAACCTTCTAACGTTTTTCAATCCTCAATTTGGTTTTCTGGTTTGCATAGCATCACTACTTGTGTTCATGTTGATGGTAATCCTTGTCGGTGGTGAAACAAGGGAGTGGAACTTGGAAGTGTTAGAGTTGCAAATGGAAGAATTGGTTAGTTTTATGTGACATGAATTTGATTGCAGTTGCAGCAGAGTCAAATGCTTGGGAATGTCTCTCATTTTAACTAGCTGTAAGGAACTAAACTTTTACAAAAAGTGCATTTTTATTCACAAAATCCGTGAGTCTAATCTAAAGTTCCATTTTTTGGCCACTAGTATTTCAGGGTTGATTTGTATTTTGTTGGGGTCTTCTTTATTTATGGTTAAAAATTTGGGTCAAATTTTGGATTTTGAATACATTTTACAATTTACTATTCATAAGTTTTCTTCATAACTTTTGCTGGGTTTAAGGATATTGAATATCATCTCCTCGGAGATTCCATCACATACGGAATTTTTATTTACAATTGGATAGCTTCTTCTCCAAGTTTCATTTCATGTATGCTTTATTTTATTAGTCACAAGAATCCTGACCATAACAAACATGGATGGGTCTTCCTTTTGCTATGGTCTAAATTTCATCATTAGTCAGTTTCACTAGTGAAAAGGCTCAACATCATTGATTTAACAGCTGATACATATATTATTTAATCCCTTTCCTTTGTTCTCAGCTTCATGTTGCTGATTGAGAGAAGCTAACACCTGTGGAAAATCAGTATGGCTTCTGATTGTTCAAGATTTGTAAGGTGAGTTTCCTTCCTTGTATACCTTCAAGTTCTAAGTTACTATTATGTACTATTTCTTTAGATTATTGGATTTTTATTGCATGTTTTCGGTAACTGAATAAAATGGTTTTGATAATCTATTAGCCTCTAATGTAAAGTTCCAACTTATAGATTTCAAGATGATGTTGAATTAGCAAAATTGCCAACAACAATTGGTGGCAATAGAATCAAGCTTAATGGAACACAAGTAGCTGAGACTAGTGGCAAAAAGGCTCACTCCACTAGGAAGACAGGGAAGTTCTTGAAGGCTAGAGTGTTGTCAAGAGTATTCTCAGAGGATTATGAGAGAGTTAGAAAAAGAACATTACTGGATCCCCGGGGACAAACCATTCACCGATGGAACAAGATTTTCTTGGTAGCATGTTTAGTTTCTTTGTTTGTGGACCCTCTATTCTTTTATTTGCCACTAGTTCGAGATGAGGTGTGCATTGATATTGGAACAGCACTTGAAGTTTTCCTCACAATGATAAGATCAGTGGCAGATGTGTTTTACATGATTCAGATTCTCATGAAGTTTCGAACGGCTTATGTAGCTCCTTCTTCTAGGGTATTTGGGAGGGGAGAACTTGTTATAGACTCTTCTAAGATAGCTACTAGATACCTGAGCAAGGGTTTTTGGTTAGACTTCATTGCTGCATTGCCTCTTCCTCAGGTAAGTCACTATAGATTTCCTTTATCTCGATCAAAACCATTATTTTTTCTATAATCATGTTATTGGTTGAAATATCTACTAGTTTTATCGGCTACTAATCTCTGTCTGAAAACCTAACTGACCACTTTTAGTTGGATCTCCTCTCTCAATCTGATTGAGTCTAGTTCCATTCGAACCAATGATTTATTAGTAGCCCATGGTGTTGAGTTGCTAAAAATGCTTCCGTTATGTTTATTACAGGTTTTAATTTGGATTGTGATTCCCAATCTTGGGGGTTCAACCATGGCAAACACAAAGAATGTGCTTCGCTTTATCATTATTTTCCAATATTTGCCAAGGCTGTTTCTGATTTTTCCACTTTCATCCCAAATTATAAAAGCTACAGGGGTTGTGACAGAAACAGCATGGGCAGGAGCTGCTTACAACTTGGTCCTATACATGTTGGCTAGTCATGTGAGTATATATGAAAACTTGCATTTACTTGATTTCTCATGCACCTTCACATTGTCATAATATGATATATATTAGGCATGCAAAATTTATTTCAGGATTGGCTGTTAAGCAACTAGTTTAATTTTTGGGCAATATGTATGTAAGACTTTAAAGTAAATATACCGTACTTTACTAACACTTTTTTTGTTTTGGTTGAAGTTTTTAGGAGCTAGCTGGTACCTTCTATCAATTGAGCGACAAGAAGCATGCTGGAGGAGTATATGCGATATGGAGTGGTCATATTGTGAATATGGATTTTTTGATTGTAAAAGGGTTGAAGATCCCCTCAGGGCCTCCTGGTTTATGGCTAGTAATGTCACAATTTTATGCTCACCGAAGTCTAACTTCTATCAGTTTGGTATATACGGTGATGCAGTGACATCCCAAGTTACAACCTCGCCATTCTTCGATAAGTACTTCTTTTGTCTGTGGTGGGGTCTTAGGAATCTGAGGCAAGTCTTATTTGGAATTTATTGTCTTCATCATTTAATCATATGCTTCAAAATGCTACATCTCCACTTCATTTTTGTATTATTCATGAGCAATTCATAAGATGTTTTCCCTAGCAAACAGAGCAATGTGGGTGACCATGACTCACTAAATGATTTTTATTTTTTATCACTTGATAATCAACGAGTTTCTGATTGTTGGGTGCAGTTCTTTGGGACAAGGTCTTCTTACTAGAACTTTTATTGGAGAAATAATGTTCGCCATTGTTGTTGCCACCTTTGGATTGGTTCTTTTTGCTTTGCTGATTGGTAATATGCAGGTAAGTGCACTTAGATTATCTCTCTTAGCCTAGAGCTGCTCAATTTGTTGTAACTCTTTGATATCCAATTCAATTTTTAAGGATAAAGAAAAAAAAAGTGAAGTAATAAAAGTGAAATTGTGGCAGACATACCTCCAATCAACAACTGTCCGTTTAGAAGAGTGGAGGGTGAAGAGAACTGATACAGAACAATGGATGCATCACAGACAACTTCCTGCAGAACTAAGACAATCTGTGCGTAAATACAACCAATATAAATGGCTAGCCACCCGAGGGGTAGATGAAGAAGCTCTCCTCAAAGGACTTCCAGCGGATCTTCGAAGAGACATCAAGCGTCACCTTTGTCTTGAACTAGTTCGACGAGTAAGTCACTTTTACTTCAATTTTTATAAGAATATTTTAAACACATTTGGTAATGATAAAACATTGTTTACTTTCAATTATCTTTATAATATTTCCTATCTTTATAATACTTTCAATCATATGTATGTATGTTTGATATCCTATATCAGATATCCAAACAGAAAATGTATGGAGAGTTTGAGTAGTGATGTGGCATGTGTTTGTGGATTGATATGAACAGGTTCCACTGTTGGATCAAATGGAGGAGAGGATGGTGGACGCAATATGCGAGAGGCTGAAGCCGGCACTGTGCACGGAGAGCACGTATCTGGTTCGGGAGGGTGACCCGGTGAACGAGATGCTGTTCATAATCAGAGGGCACCTGGATTCCTACACCACGAACGGAGGGCGCAGCGGTTTCTTCAACTCGTGCCGCATCGGGCCGGGGGACTTCTGCGGCGAGGAGCTGCTGACGTGGGCCCTGGGGCCGCGGCCCAGCTTCACGCTGCCGTCGTCGACGCGAAGCGTGAAGGCGATATCGGAGGTGGAGGCGTTCGCCCTGACGGCGGAGGACCTTCGGTTCGTGGCGTCTCAGTTCCGTCGGCTGCACAGCAAGCAGGTTCGGCACAAGTTCAGGTTTTACTCCCACCAGTGGAGGACTTGGGCTGCGTGCTTCGTGCAGGCTGCGTGGAGACGCTACAAGAAGAGGAAGCAAGCCAAGGCTGTGCCATTGCCATATGTCAGGAAGGATTCTGGTCTTGTTGTTAACTCCTTGCCCAAGCCCCAAGAACCTGATTTTTCTCTTGATCACTGATTCTCATTCATGCATCGCTTTCTACTCTTATTCTTTTATTGTTTTTTCTGGAAGCTATTCTTCGTTTTTGAAGTTTCCTGATTTTAAATAAGTCTTCCGTGGAACACACTAGTGAAAATGGAGCACGGTGGAGAATAGTAAAGTACTTCACAATAGCTAGTATTGTATTGTATATGGAGAATAATAATTCATATATCAGTTGTGAATTGTGATACATAGAAATAGGTTAGCAATAATGGTCACCTTGGACAACCAAGTAACCTTCCAAGTTACAAAACAGGACTAGGGATGCCAAAGTAGCCTGCGGACTGCCTCGTTGGCCCGTCAAAAATTAGTAGGCCGGGTTTATTATTTCAACCCCGCCAACTCGCTGGGCCAAATAGCGGGTCAGCCCGCATATATATATATATATATATATAT